CTGTGGTCAAAATCCATTGTTATTCGTAACAATAGATCTATTCAATTTACACTTGTTTCAGAAATAGAAACTATGAAGTATAACAATAGAACTGGGGTGTAACATTCTCTTACAAACTTAGAATATTGTAAAGTGCTCAAGGCTCAAATGATCTATTCAAGAATTAGTTTCATTGTCAGTGCAATGTTTATAATTGATGCATGACTTCCTTTTTCGGCATGTCATTTATGGATAAGTTTAAGTGATGTGAGGACTTTCTTATCATTTGGGAAATATTAAAAAAAAAATGCGTTATAGATATTAGGTGACACAACAGTAGAAAGAAAAGGTATGAATTGTATGTTTCCTGATTGTGAGTATGAATGTAAATCATGTAATATTTTAGTGAGGAATTATCCTGTTTTATTTTCAGTTTAAATCAATTAATACATTAGAGTTACAACTAAATTTTATTTCACAGCCAATAATTTGGTCCGGCTTTTTACATCAAATACTGTTTCATTATGTCAGGGAAATGCTCAAAATAATGCTCTTAAAAGTTTTTAATATGTTTAAAATTTAATTCCTGTTTTTTATCGGAATAATTGTATTGGAAATAACTATTCTCCCCAACCGCTGATCAAGTAATCAAAGTTTTGGAAAGCTAAAGATTTAGGTTATTTTTTATCTGAAAGATTTTTTTTCTTTTTTTTTTGCATTAAATTGCTTTGGTAATGTTTAATTTTATAGTAATTTGAAGTTATTAATATTTTCATAATAAAATTCACGGTACCAATTTTACTGCACCAGTAAACTTCAACTTATTTTGAGATTTTTGTTTGTTTCACAATTCAACTTTTAGTCAGTTTCAATCACTGTGTGATAAAACCTTTCAATCTGATAAATGTGCTTCGGGGCAGGTGTAACTCATTTATAGAAACTCTTTGTTTTGAACTGTAAATAGACCCAAATAATAGGATAATCCCTTACTAAGAACATAATGTACATTCATTCTTCACAATTAAGAGGCATCCAATTCTACAATTTCATTGGTCGAGAGTACTTTGCTATATTCTAAATCCATTAATGACATGCCGAAAAAGGAAGTCATGCATCAATTATAAACATTTCACTGACAATGAAACTAATTCTTGAATAGATCATTTGAGCCTTGAGCACTTTACAATATTCTAAGTTTGTAAGAGAATGATAATCCCTTACTTCATGATATAAGTACTCGCTAACGCTCGTACTTATTCATGAAGAAAGGGATTATCATTCTCTTACATATACTAAATATACTCTAAATATTACTTATACTGGTCATTGGTCACTTCATTGGAAATTTCATTGTTTCACGTGAAATCAATGCACAGGTACAATTGCATAACAATGGACAAAACCTGTTCAACTACTTTAACAAGACGAAATAGAAAGTCGAATCGTGTAGCCAGTAAACAATGTTTTTTTTTTAATCTAAGCATGCAAATTGAATAATAATGATAATAATAATGAATTCTTTATTTAACGAAGGTAACTTATTTAATATACAACTGTTAATTTCAGACGAGGCCTTCACACATTAAAATGAACAATACATATAACAATCAATGCATATAACACAATAATCAATAGAGATGTACACAATTACAAATGTATATACACAAGCATGAAAAAGACTGTTGAACTATATCATTTGGCAAACTATTCCTAATAATTAGACCAGAATATTGAAAAGTCTTTTTGAATTATTCAGACGTTGACCTTGGTATATGAAGATGTCCAGATGTTGTTGACATAAGAGAATAACTATATCATGTATATAGATCACTGCACGCAGTAAATTGAAGGTTATATTATATATTTTACATCTAATACATTGGCTGAACAAAAATATTTACTATGAGAGTCCGGACACTTTAAAAGTTTAAAGTTTTCCCACTAATTCCGAGTGTGTTTTAATTTAGTGGTAGTAAACTCGTAGTATCCCACAATGCATTGTAGTTCATTGAGTCGATTGGTCAGTCTTTTAAGGCCACGCTTACCTTCTTTTGGGAAATAACTATGCAAATATATACTGACGTCAGGAAATCTAGTGTTCCCGACCTGTTTAAGGTTGGGCTACTGTTTTTTAAATGACATGTGTTAATCCTTAATAATCGTAGTTTTGTGAAAATAAATAATTTAATGTATACCAAGCATTTCAACCAAAATCGAGTAATAACATGGATATCCCATATTACATACTTCGTACATTTACAGTAATAAAAGCATTTTTAAACAATAAAAAAGGGATAAAAAGATTGAAAGAAATTAGATAATATGTCGACATTTTTAGACTCGAATTACAGAAGGTAACCTGTTCATGTCTTAAGTGTTTCATTAATTGTATGCATAATTTGTTCTTGTTCAGTTTTAATGTTTTATGTAATTATTTGCCACATCATTTACAATCTCGTCTGCTGAGTTGTAATATAAATCCAATACACACCGCAGACGTCACATTGCCTGTCATCGTACTAATGAATATCGTTCTTTTTATTCTTGGTCATTACTCCTCATAACCATCACTTGTTTAGTTTATTATGCGTGAAATAATACAAATTATTTAACATATTTGAGATCGAATCAAACTGAAGCATACAACTAATCTATTGTAAAAATATTTAACTCTAATGGTTGAAAATAGGTGCTTCAAACCTTTTCAAGCAACATTCGTCGTATATAAGAAATAAAACTAGCAAGTGTTTTAATCTAAGTAGAAGTTGTTAGATAATGCACTAGCAAATGTTCAATTCTTGCGAATGAAGAAATTTTATAACTTGTTAATCAAATCTGTAAGCTTGAAAGCTCTTAAATAAAAGATGTAACAGTTACATTGACGTCTTATAAAAATCATGTAACTGGTTTTTATCGACTTTTGTCTGGTCTTTTCTAATACGACCATTTATAACGGTGCTTTGCTTTTGCGCCAATCAGCATTTCATTTGCGCCAAAAAAAAAAATCATTTGCACCACAAACCATATTTTTCATTTGCTCCAAAAAGATACATTTCATTTGCGCCAATAATGAAGGTAAATAGTTTAGATAATAGATATGTATTGAAAAGTGACTTGTTACTACATATTTTTGATAGAATAATATAACTTATTCATCATAAATCATATTCATTAATAAAACAAAATGCATACAAAAAACACCGATATTTTTTAAATGCTGAGATTTTACATTTTGCTTGTCTAAACCTATAGTAGGTTGACGGTAGCATTCAATGTTTTTATAATGGTTGTGCTGTCCACATCTGTTGTGATTCTGGTTTTGTAACTCTTTTTTGTACATCTATACGATTTGTCTCCGTTTTTCAGTACACCAGATATCCTAAATGTAAGGTCTTTAAATATTACAGATATATTTCCTCCTCTATTTGCCTCCAAATGAATTTTATGAATTTTGTATCATCGCACATATAAAAACTATACAATATTATACCTTTAAGTGACTTTCAGTTTTGTATCAGAAATGAGTATGTACTCACATACTTACCAAATGGTGGATACTCTACAACAGTTCTTATAAGAGTCTCGTATTCAGGATTCAACGTATAATAGAACGTTTCCTTTATATTTTTAACTGTAAATTGGCGGAAATGAAATACAACGCTGTGGTGCAAATAAAATACTGCGTTTTTCACAAATTGGTGCAAATGCAATGCGCCAATTTATAAAACGCAAAGACCTTAAATTTCATAGTGTGAATCACATTATATGATATAACGTGAACGATTCAATCTTGATTTTTACTCACTTTTATGGCAAAGATTTCTTTGTCGTTTGTGAAGAATAAATATTTGATTTTGCACGTAAAAGTACTATTATAAAAGGGCCCGGGCCGGTGTACATATATGATATATAAATTTGTAGGCCTTTATGGATGACTAGGAGCTAATCAAAAGAACACAAGGTAAAAGAACAATATTAAGTGGAAGTCGAGATGAATATTTGTTATATAGTTTAGGCAGCTGAAACATAGGAGGGCTATCTCATATTTTGAGGCCTAAAACTGAGATGTGGCACGTCGATTTGAGTGTATTGTCTTGTTTGTGAACCAATTCAGAAATATTTTTTTATTTCAGTTGCCTTTTTGAAAATAATAATTATTATCATTATAATTTATACGTGTACCACTACCACGTTGTTGGCTGCTTTGTCAAAAGTTTTTGTCGATCCATACTTTGTGAACCATCCACAGTGATTTTGCCTTTCCAGACGCCTTTAAATCTTTTAGTAACATCATTTTAAATTATTGCCTGTATACTGATTTTTTGTTTTGTATAAAAACAAGAAGATATGTTATGATTGCCAATGAGACATCTATCAATCAAAGACCAGATGACGCAGATGTAAGCCGCTATATTTATAGTAATCTATTAAAAGGCCTCAACATGAAAAATGTAAACTAATGTGAACGGGAAAAAAACAAACAGCCTGTACAAAACAAAAAACGAAAATCAAATAAGATTGACAGCAACCAAGTATAACCACTAAAATGAAGGCTCCTGGCTTTTGGACAGGTACATATAGAATGTGGCAGGGATAAATATTTTGAGCGCGCTCAACCATCCTCTAGCCTGGGATAGTGATGTAACAGTATAACATAAGAACAAACTACACAATCAGTTGGGAAGGGTTCATCAGATCGACAGAGAAAAAAAAAACTTTAAAATGTGTATATTTTTTTTTTGTGTTTATCCAGACAAAATTACGTTTAATTATAGTAGTAACCGCTCTTTTTGTTACTTTCATTAAGATATTTTTAAAAAATACAAGTCTTGTCATATTTTCTGGGATGCATATAACTATGTATATTATACCTTTAAAACATTTCTTAAAAAAAATAGAGAATTATAAAGACACGATGTAACAAGTTTATAAACGTACGTAGTGTTTGGGAAGCCGTATGATGCATTTTAATAATGGACTAAAACTAGAATATCGTCTTTCATTGCAAAGCATATGCTGATTTAATCAATGTTTCCAACAATAACCCAAAACAGAAAATTGTAAAATAAGTAGCAAGCTGAAAACGCTATTCTTGATATAATGTCTATTTTCTTTGCCAATGGAAGATAAGGTCGTCTAATGTCATCAAAATTAGGATCCATATCGTTACCTTGTGACTGAAAAATACATAAAAATAACATTTTGGATGTAAGTGACAAGAATATATTTCTTAAAACAACACATACAAGTTTGACCATTATTAAGTCACTTTGGGAGGTGACACAGAATTTCAAATAATGAATTAGCTAGTAAATGTAAAATAAAACATAAATTCAGTCGTCAGGCTTTTGTTATCGCAGAAAGGATGTTTTGATAAACTTATCATAGATTGTTTACTTGTGATTGTTATAAGTGGTGAAAAGTACCACCTTGAAGAGACATTACTGTTCTAATTGAACATAAACAAATGTCTACATACTTCTCTGTACTTTTTCTTTGCTATTTTAGCAACCTCCTCGTCTGACAACTGTTTACTGGCCAATACATTGTCATATACATGGATTTCTTTACGTTTCGCCGCCATTTCGGCAGCTGTTTCCTCTGAAACTTTTCTTCTAGCTAATACATTCACTACAGAGAATTCAATCAATGCAGCAAAAACAAACATGGCTTGAAATAAAGTCCAAACGTCTATTGCTTTCGGATATGATACCTGTGGTGCATTGAGTCTAGCTGCAGAGCCTTGAGATGACATAGTTAAGACTGTAATGGCACCTAAAGATATTCGTCCTGGAACTGCGAGAGGATGTAACCAAAACGAGACCCATGACGTTATTACAATAAGCATATCCGGAATGAAGATTTCTAGCATGTAGTATCCAATGGCTCTGTTTAAAACAATTGTCAATTGTAGACAGGAAAATTCATTTTCTGTAAAATAAGTGGAAAGTAAGAATCTTAATTCACCACTCAATGTCTTTTTTTAGACAATAATCCAATATATGTTTGCACTTATATTTAGAGTACAGACAATCCGGCCCGCTCTTCTCATTATCTGTATATTTAATTCTTAAACATTTATTACACAAAAAGTTAACGATATATCAATTGCAGTATCTGAAACGTTTGTGGTCCGGAAAAGAATTTTGACTCACGCTTGAACAGTTTATTGCCTGTTCACAGACCAATGTACATGTATATATTTCTTAAGCTGATCATTAAATCCGAGTAAAATTAGAGTTATGCGGACTAGTAGTTGTTGTTTCTAACACCTAATTAAAATGTATTAATTATCTTTCTTTGCAACTAACCATGTGGAAACGAGTTTACATCGCATTGGTCAACACTGCTTGTTGGTGTATTTACTATATTATAGAGAGGCAAAATCGCATTCTGTATTGTAACAGGCTGTTCTTTTACCCAATTATACACAACCACATCCGAAGTTAAACCATCTAAAAGGAAATGTTGACGTATAACAAAAAAAGAGCCTTTATTTTGTTACATGAAATTTTTTAGGGTAAGAATGTATGTCATACATGCAACTCGGGATGATTGAAGATCAGCACTATTTTGTTTTTTAGTCGTAGTATTATTTCTTTTTATCTTGTAATCAGCCAACTAGTGTACAAATAACAGGTACACAAATAAATATTTGCTTTATTTTTACGTACTTGTACAAATAAAGTCTCCTCTTACTTAGCTTCCATATTGAGCAAAAGGTAATGTGCATATTTCTGTTAGTGTGACATTTCATTTTTGGGTCCTCTTCGCGGTCCGCGTTTTAACTATGTTGATTTCTTTGAAAAATCAAAGACAACTATTTGGAAATAAACAAATACACTCGGAAGTGCCGGATGTAAATTGCAGTATAAACACATTATATGTACATTGTCGGGAAATATGAAATGTATTTGTGCTCGCTACGAAACAGGAGTGCTCTTTCTTAAATTCATACAAGAACATTTTATGTTTTCTGACGAAGTACATGTATTCTATATATCATAACTGCGTGAAAATAAACTCATTCACATTTTTTAAACTAAGATTTATTTCTTGTAACTGACATAAGCTTTAAAGATTTTTATGGAAAGATCTGTAAATGGATCACCATTTTACTGAACAACATAATTATTTGTAACTTTTGAAACAACTATTAAGCAGAAAGTGTATATGGCAATATTAGGTAGACAAAATTGCTCGTACATTGGTCACCCTGTCATGACGCACATCACTGACACCTTTTACAAAAAGTCACATCATTGTGTAAGGTGGATATGCATATTTTCTTGCGAAATGTATTTGAATAAATAAATATTATGCAAAAGACGTTTGGAATGGTTTTAAAAAGAGAGAGTAACCCAACGCCAACAAAAGCCAACGTACATCATTAGGGCAACATAAGGTTTTTAACCAGATGAATACCAAATCGGGACCTGCGTTGCACCGTGCCGTCGTGAAGAACAGTCTTCACTCTCATAAATTAAACGTAAAATAAATTCATGATAACCTAATATAAAAATAAAGTAACATACTATGATTCTGATGAATCAACAACCAACTAAAGACCGATGGAAAATGATGTGAACAACTGAAGGTCATCGTACAGCCTTCAGGAATAAACTTATGTAAATGAGTAACCTGTAAAACACCCCGGGATGACAAAATTTGAAAACAAATCAAAAGAGAATATCATCGGCCTGATTTATAATATATTAACTTGATTGCTACGCCGCAGAGAAATGTCCTCCACCGCTGTGATAATGGCTAATGAGGAATGACCTAATGTGTACAATATAAAGTGGTAGATTACATTATTAAGTGTATTTCCAGCTTTGTATTTGTTGCTGTTAGTTTTGTCATTTCAATGTAAATGTTAAAAGAATTCAAAGTCCAATAATTCGTAAAAATGGTCGAATAAAAATGACGGTATAATATGGGCAACTACACATGATTGCAAACAATCCTAAAAAGTATTAGAGCTTCTGTAAAACGGTCTCAGAGGAGTTGCTGTCCCAAGATGTTATGGTGTTACGATAGTTCAAAAAATGGTCAAAGTTCTATAATTCCTGTTAAAATTGTCAAACTGACGGTATAGTATGTTCAAGATAACATGATGACAAAAGATCCTACTCAGTATGCAAACTTTTTCTGTCAAACAGTTTGTTTCTTAGTAGTGTTATGTTTCGGACAGACGAACGGACGACAGCTACGTAGCGTGTGGGCCAATAAACGAAAACCAATTATGGCGAAGAGCAACCGAGGCAAATCACTAGATTAGGTTTCTGTCTTGGAACATGCACATGAAGAATGTGACTGATAAAATATGTTTTTTTAGCGTTCATTCCTCACCCTTACCTAGTTATGTAATAAAACAAATAAAATTTAATATGTATGCACTCCAATATTTCTGTGAGGTTTGAAGGATATGGATAACAAAAACTATATCACTTGTTATTACACAAAAAATGAACATTCTTTGGTAAATTTTGCTGAGAATGATAAAGTAAACAGGTCTGTATAATATAAACATTCCTCAAATAATTTTAATTACACCAGGGGCACAATTTTCGGATTATGCAATATTTGTGTCAAGTTTTACGGGATTTGGTTTATCTATGTAAGAGGACTTGATTTCACAAGATTGGTACCCACTCAAATGAAACCGATATTGCATGGCATGCAACAACAGCAAATGATAATCATCCTGATACATAAAATATTCGTAGACTTATAACATAAAGAACTAAAGACAAACAACAAAGTACAAAAAAACACTTAACTGAAAACAACTAAGCTTGGTCTACACTAAACCAAGCCTACAATAAACTACAAGTGAACTTAGGGTACCACAATGGTACACAGTTTCCGCTACCCTATCAAAATATGATACATCTGTAGCTGAAAGAGGCAACCTAGACCATTACCAATAGAAATAATACAAACATTGAAAAAACAATCACAAAACACAGAAAACTTAAGCAAACGGAACACAAACTATATGAAAAAAAAACTAGCGGAGACACATTACTTTAGAAGGTGTTCCTACTTTATAGTCGAACGCGATGCTAGGTTACCAAGTGACATACTTACAGCTTTCTAGATGGATGACACAAGACTGAACATCTAGTGGATATAAGCGAAAATCCATAGAACACGCCAACTTTAAATGAAACCTGAATCAAAAGATGTAATTTTAAAACACAAAACAAACAGCATGAACACATATTTTTACTGTTTTAATTTGCTAGGTATTGAAATCCTAATTATAATTGTTCAAGATGTAATACTGGTGGCATTCTAATGCAAAATGAACCCTTTTAATTTGTTTTGTCTTTGTGGCATTTTTTTACAAAGATGCCTAGTTAGAATCGATGATAGCATGGTAATGGTTACACATAGGAACAGCCGTCAAGTTGTTTCAAGTTGTATTGTTCTGTTTTTTGTATTAGCGTGCTAAGCATACATAATTTATCTGTTTGTAGATGCATAAAAGTGTTATCTGCACAGAAGCAAATGCACATTTAGGTGCATAAAAATTTAAATTGTTATTTGTTATTAAGCAGAATGAAACCAATAAATATGTTAAATCATATTGTGAATTGATACTACCTCACTAACTACAAACAAACTGCAAATCGAAACACAGATAACTGTAATTACAAAAATCTCTATGATCGGATACACAAGTTAAGCGTTTTCTCGCTATGTCACTTGCTCAAATTTAAAAACATTATAAACTCATAGTCACCGTGTCTTACACAAAGTTAAGAATAGCAATTCTCGTTAACAGTACACAGTTTCTTAAAAGTACAAACAATCGTGTTGACATTAGTTAACATGTATATAAACTGTACATGTGCTGCGATACATTTAAACTGTATATCGGTTGAGACGCATGTCTGTGCGTCTGTTAAGATGTATATAATATGTACATTTTAAGAGATGCATATAAACTGTACATTTTCAAAGAATAATTGTGTATCAATTTTATATATGTTCACACATGAACAGTTAATATGCCTCTTAATCGGTATACAGTCTATATGCATCTTACGAAATGTACAACAAGATTGCTTGTACTAAATTAGCTGTGTGGTTACACATGTTTGAAGATCCGATATGAATTTAACACCAATTTAAAAGAAAATATTATAAATAAACGTTTAATATAAAAATCGGTGTGTCTCAATTCTTTTTTTTCAATGAACGACTGTCGTGTATGTTACGTCCAGTGGCAGATATGTCATGCGGTTGAAGAAAAAATTGAAAAATAATTCAAATTTGGAGGTCGACCGTTTTGAAGGACGAGAATTCCGACTGCCACTGGAAATTGAGGTTTATTGGATAGGAGTGGAAAGCTTACCTTGCAACTTAGCATGTACATTCCTACCGGGCGTGGCTGTGTATTCATGCAGCTTGCACCCTCTTTAGTATTCATGTAGATTTTATAGCCCGATGGAAGAGGTCCAGAAATTATCCTATCTCTATACATCACTTCACCATCGGAGTAAGTATCTTTTTTAATCTCGAAGGTATGTATTTTTTACCGAAATATCTTATAAATCTCATTGCAACACAAATCTACATGTGTTTATGTATTTTGTGTATCATTTAATTAAAATCACACCTTATATATTATACCATGCGATTTTTTGTATATCTTACATTTTTGTTAGGTTTTAAATCCGATGTATGTATTGTTTTAAATTTTCTACAAATTGTTCATACATAAAACACAAAATAGATATATTACACATCTTTTAACAGTCTGACATACAAACCTTAAACTATAAACCACAGTCCCGTCATGATGTATATGTAACAGTGTATTTGGCATTTCTAAATTGATCTGATCAAACTTTGATTCTGGAAAGAATGTATCCGGAAGCCAAAGTTTCTTTATTTCTTCTCTACCAAGTTGAAGGGTGATGTTCGTATAGTTAAACTTTAAACGATGGTCATTCCATGTTTGACGAAGATAACATG